ATCAAAACATGGACCAAACGACCAAATGATGAGCAAATATCGTACAGTAGAAGGTAGAGTAGAGATTTTATAATGGAATGCCTTTCCTTTTTTTTTAAATTTCCGTTCTTTTATTTATTTTTAGACCATTCATCCTGTTTTAGTTACTTCAACCCATTCAACTACCAAATGAATTGCTAATTTATTCATGTATTTATTCATCCCTTTCTCAAGTGGCATATCTTTATTTTCTTCCATTTCGTCATTACATTATGTAAGTTTCCATTTTTGAATTAAATGAGAGTTCTCTCACCTGATAATGCTGAGGTTGTGGAAGCAACTTCTCAAGCTGCATTAGAAATTTTCTTACGTTAGTTGAAATAACTAGAATATGGGCTTGGTTAAGACTAGGCAATCGCTTACATCGTTCATCATAGATGAAAAATTAGAATGAAGGGAAGGTGGATTTCCCAATGTTAAAATCAACCCGCATCGCCGCTTTTCGAGTAGATTTTCGAGCCATAATTTGTACGACTTAGAGTATATAGGAACTTTGGGTTGATTTAATTAGGTCTCTGCTTTCTTACTCAGAATTATTAGTTTATATGTTCCGTACCATCAGAAGTGGCAAATGACAGACCGATCCCTCCTGCAGCAGTATCCGTAAACAGGCAGCCACACACCCTTCCAAGTGTGCTTCGCATGATGTATCACTTACCATACAGCACTGTAGTGTGCTGCACAATATTGCCGCCAACAACAAATGAATGAGAAATCAAGTGTGCTACCCTTCTGGATGCAAGTCATATTAGATGAAAGCCAGTAAACACCGTTCTCACCTTAACCGGTATTATTCTCTGCCTAGTTCATTTAACGGCATTGACACTCATTTCTAGTTCTCTGTCATATTCACCCAAGTTTCAAAAAAAGTCACACTGGAGATTTGATGACGCTTTAATGTAACAAAAGTGCAACATGAGGAGCATCCAAACTGCAATTTGCAACTTGTCCCCCTTAACTACCAAGCCATGCTTTTTTGCCTCCTTCTATCAGCAAAACATTTCACGTTTGTCTACTGTACTGAATAGTGGCTTGATATGGGAATGGGGCTACAAATGCAGTCGCATCCTTCACTCGGTAATGACGAGATAGACATGGGGCGTGAGAGGGGGAGAGCAGGAGCGCTGAAGATTGCGAAGGCTGAACAGCGGAGGAGAGAATGATGCAGAGAGGAGGGTGAAGAAGAGGTCCAGGGTGGAACGAAGTGCAGGTGTGGGTGCAGAGAGACAATACCACTGGAGAGTTCAGCACGATAGGTGGACAGAGCTAAAAAGAGCATACTGATAAAAATATGAGCAGGGTGGGGATAAATGGGTGTAATTATACACTACCAGAAAATTGAGGATGGAAGCAGGAGAGACAGGTAAAAAAGGTAACTAGAAGTGAGAGGCATCGAAAAAAGACAAAATCGCAGAGAATCAAGGGAGACGTGGGTTGCGATTGGATGCGCTGAGTGGCGGTAGCATTGTACGGAGAGAGCAAGTGTGAGCTACCTGTGGCAGTAGCTTGGGTGACTGCACGTAACTATCGGTTCTCGGCTCTCTGGGCTAAGATCATGTGTAGTATCTGTTCTTTGCAGTGTAATTTCTGCAACGGTCCCCAATTTAGGACCAATGAAACGACCTGTATTTTCCAGCCAGGACGGGGTGTTGTGAGCTTGCTCAATCTTGTCCACGGGATGGCCTCGTATTGCATTACCTCGAGGATAGGCCCACTAATGCATGCCATGGCAGAGAAGGAGAGCAGCGGAGAGAGGGCAGGCATCACATTTCGTGGCTGGGTATATACGCGTTTGTGTACACAAATATGTACTTAATGTGCATTTTGGTAATTTTCAAGGAACACTATCGGGGGTATATATGTTTACTTTGACAGTTATTAGGGTGGCATTCGCTCATGGAAGCTACATTGGAAAACAGAAGGAAATCACAAAATTGCATTTATTTAGTGGTGTTTTAGGAGCACCTTTGTAGGCGCAGAAGGGTGGTCAATCATTGCTTGTGTAGGGAAGATTGTAATGGTCGAAGTTGCTTAGTAGACGTTTTAGTCTTAGGAGCGGATTAAAGTTGCCGACTTAAATGCTATATTATGAAGCAGGCACAAAAGCGTTGCTTCAATTCTTTGGCATATAGTGATCTTTACAAATGGACTAAGCGATTGAATACGCCTAGTTCATTTGACAGTATCTTGCCAAGTATGCTGGGTATTGTGACACATTTTAATCTGCTGTCAGGTAAGACCAATCTCTAAAATGTTTGTCTACATTTGGCTAATTGTTTTAATGCACCTACTGGTGGAAACAAGAAGCAAGGGTAGCAATTGATCCCGAAATCCAAAGCATTTTGAATGTCATAGTGCTTTTGCATCCGTCAAAATATTGTTACAATATTCGCGCTATCTGCGGCTCCTGAAAACGAAAGGAAGCAGGAAATCTTTCTAAAAATAAGTCAGGGCTACAATTTTTAGTTGCTATATTATTGCAAGTGAGGGGGATTAGGGCGGCGTACAACTGTGGCAGAAGTCATGCTAAGGGCCATAGTACCAAATTAATTACTTTGAAGTGGTAGTAGACACCTGCTAAGAAAAATGGAATAAACATCATGAAAAACAAGTCGAAGGGGATTTCGTCCTTCGGGTAAAGTGCATCGATACAAGGGTAAAGTAGATCAGATTAGTTCAAAGGAACGTACACACGGACTCCCGTGGATGCATATATGTGGTCGGAAGACACGGCTACCTAAATAAGTCTGCCTAGGCCCAAGTCGAATTCAGAGTCCTAATCTGATGTCGAGTCTGAGTATGAGTCTGAATCCGGGTGTGGGCCAATGAGCGTCTGGTTGATCTGTTGTGACCTTTAGCCTTCTAATGTTTATCGGTACACTAGCAGATGTTTGCCTCTATTCCATGCTAGCCAATGAAGAGGAAGAAAGTGGTGCGGTCAGCAGGATCCCGATTCATTATATTAACTTGAGCAGAAAAACAATAGTCATTTTTATAGTAAGCTAAGACTTTTAAATCATATTTGACCGCTCAACGTCAGGGAATTAGCTACCTCTTTTTTATTTCACTTCCACTGACCTCCAGTCCTTATTACGCAGCTGAAGCAGCCATTTTAGCGGCATGTTGTTGCAAACCAAAAGTTAGCATTTATTTACCAACGGATTCTCCATCAGAAGCGGCTGCAGATTCACTTTTAAATTTGGCAAACAAGTCCTGCATAACTTAGCATAGCAGAGGGATACTAAGCTTACCGAACATTAGAGGATCACATAGGATCGCGATTCCGAGTAAAATGTATTGTTAACGGGCAGAGGGGTCAGTCGACTAACTAAGGATGTAGTTCAGGGCAGACATTACTGCCGACACGGGCCATCAACGATTTCAAGGGCACTCTCAGCTTCGCGCCACATTCATCCAAGCAAAAAACGAGTTAAGCAGGTCCAGTCACGAAATGGGAAAACATGTAAATAAGTCCAAGACAGGTAACAAGAGGTCACATGATCGATAACCCGCACGTGACATTTAAAAAGTCTCTGGGTGGCAACAAACTAGGACAAGTGATCCAAAATTTGCGTGTCTAACAGGTTACCTATTTTGTAAGCCACCTCAGTGCTCTCAAATACCTTACGTCTATATCAAAAATGCCTATCCTGTGAAATTCATGCAATCCCCACGCTCTACCTGGCATTAAAGGCAAATTGCCATGCAAGCGATGCAGGCTGCCATGCACGTTAGAGAAAACAAACTATGGCTTTGCGTGTATTGACTGCACTTGCCCAAACTAACGTCCAGTTGTACGAATTGAGCGCGAACACGAGATTGTGCTTCCATTTATTGACGGCCCTTTTCCCTCATGGTGGCTGAGCCCAGCTCATTTTAGGCGAATTGCGTTACACGCCACGCAGGCTGCTAGTTACGTTCGAGGAAATAAACTACGGCTTTGCATTTATTGACTGCACCAGCCTAAACTCACGTCCAGCACATAATTTACCCAACGTGGTTTTTAGTTTACCATAGTCTCTGCGGTAAGCGAGAAATGGTAATGAAAATTAGCTTGCAGAGTTAGATGTTCCGCAAATGTTAAAGGCTGAACCGGAGGTCAAATCTGGCATAGTATGACCCCTTATGAAGTTCATTTTATGATAAATGAGAAGTCGTTCCACTGAGACTGCCACTAAAGCGACAGGTTTGCCACTTCTTTCTTGCATTTTGACTTCATTCTCATGAACCAAGTAGTCAGATTCTAAGGAGGCCTACTTTCAATCAGCTCTTCCATTGTGAATGCCTATCATTAGTTAATGGTCATCAGTAATAAGCAATCGAGATGGACTAGTGTAGTCCTAATGCCTACTCAACTTGCCGGTAGTCTGTAAACTGTGTCAGCTTAAGCTGGACAAACAAGAAGCGCACATTTGTAGGTTTATCAAGGTGCGATCAGTTACTACCTGGCTGTTCGCCCTCAGTGAAATAAAGGTGCTTACTATGAAGCTATATGTAGAGTTAGGATGATCGCACGAGTTGATGACCGGAGAACCGGAAGAATGAAGAGTTAGAGTGAGGTGGGGGTCACGCAGTTGGTAGGTGTGGAAGCAATAACACAATGCCCTAGGGGCCGTCTTTAGCCTCATTAGCCATCACGGTCACAGACAGCAGGTTTCGAGTGAAGAGAAAAGTCCGTGTTAACACTGGAACACTGGATACTGCTTGGTGCACACTGCTGTCGGCGGCCTTCTGAGTCCTGTATTCTGCAGTTTGTGGTCAGTGATTAGTAACAAGTTGGGTAAGGGTAGTACAGTAAGCATCCAACTCGGGATCTGGGGTTGTCCTGGCCTCTACATTAGGCAAGTGGTTGAACTGGGGGTTAACTCTAGGCTTTTTAGCCACCATTAGCATAATGCGCTCGACATTTAGCACCTCCTTCTTCTCTACAGTCAGTATCTTGGAACAGTAAACTTATTAGTTGAAGCATTCTTCGGCGGCATTGGCATGTTCATAAAAGAGGTACAATTCCTATCCACACGTGTACATCTGTCCATTCATCCTACTATACACACCTAATTACATGCACACTGGTAGATCATCAGAAATAAGGACTTATCAGAAATTAAAGGTTGTGAGTAGAATAAAATACATCTATTTAATATGCAGTTTAAACGTCGTTCTTAAACATGATAGTTCTAGATGGGCGAACACCTTATTCCTGATGTGTAAAATCTACTTGATTTACACCTACTTTCCGAGAGTGATGCTAGTCCGACATTACTTCTCACTTTGAAACAATTACAACTGGTCTTTTTTGATACACTCGTAATTGTCTCCACGGAGGGCATTTTGGCAAATTATAAATTCCACACGAAAATGCGGAGCTGCAGTGTTTCTGAAGGCAAACTTCATAATTAGGGAGGAGTTTCGTCAGCTGCCTTAAAACTCCAAATAATTGCTTTGATAATCCCTTCCTATGATATCCTTCTCAATTTTGCTAGAATTTGCTCTGAGTGGATGACACAGTATTGTTCTATAACGGCAAACTTGTCAAATTTACTAAAGTTACAGAGCCATACGCAATTTATTTGAAGAACTTTATAGGAGTCTGGCCACCATTGGGAAACTTCTTTTTGCTTCCTTTCCAGTTTAAATTTCTAAATGAGTTGTAGATGACGGGGAAAATTTAAGGATCTTCCTAAAAATTTGCATAACTGTAAATTTGCTACCTGCCTACATATCAACTAATTTTGAATTATTTCCTTGGTGTCCCTGTAAACCTAGGCAAAATGTGTATCTAAATTCTAGCCGTAATTTGTTTCCTGACTGGTAAGGTTAAGCGAAAAGTAGTCGATTGATTGAAGCATTAAATAGGGGAGCATGAAAGGGATGAGAAAGGTCGCTGGAAAAGTCACTTAATGAAGGTAATGATGTCGCATGAAATGGGGTGCGTACCTCCTTCTATCCGCTGCGGCGATTAATTCGATGTAGACTCAGCGACAGCGAGGATGGCAATTATGATTGTCGCATCTGTTGCTCTCTCTTTGCGGCTCAAGTCGATACCTTTCATGTGTTTTTGTTAATCTCGTGGTATTTTTGTAGAATAAGCAAACATCCTATTGAGCCAACACTTTTAAGTGATGAGCAACGTGTTCCTATGGAAATGCGGCACTATTTTAATAAAGACCGATTTAAGCGTTCATTAATAGCGTTAATTTAGGCTTCAAATTTTGGTTGTGAAAACTGTTATTTTACTAAAGAGCGGCATTAAAGGGAGGCAGGAATTCAAAATTTGGCACCGTGCTGGCATTTACGTGTATGCACGAGTACGGCTTATCAAATCAATCACTAGCTGTAATGCAGTGTCGGACGTTTCAGAAATTGCTTTTTTCTTCAAATGCTTCTGACTACGCAACACTTGAATCGTTCTGAAATAATCCCAGAAAAAAAGTGGCGTATTAATACTGTGAAGAGCCTGGAAGGCATTTATTGTCAATGCGTCATATAGCCATTATTATGAACCAAATATATACTTTATAGAATCGCGTGATGTAAATTTAAAAATGGGCTCAATAACAGTCAACATGGCTTTTGCCAGAACGACTTTTAGGTAGTCATACTCGGTAATCGCATTCTGGAGCAGATTTATCGTAAGGATCTTTTGATGTGGTGCTATGTACAATGTGCTGGATTTTGGGTATTTTATTCACCGATTTTAAGAACAAAAATGATTAATTGCGGCATCTCGTGCTCTATAAGCATGCAGTGTTCTCTCCAAAGCAATGACGGAACAGTACAAATCAAAGGAAAACTTTGTTTATTAACAAAGTTTGCTAAATAGGCATAAGTAGGACTGTAAATTGAGACGGCCGGAGATCATGGGTTTTTCCGTATAAAGTCGAATCTACCCCTATGTATTTAGGTCTGCGTAACAGTGATGTTCATAAAGCACATTTGCATTCGCAACCAAAAGCTTGCTAGTAAATTTGATCTTTAATGTAGGCAGTTGCATTTAGAAAAACAGACCTTCACAGTTGAAAATACCCTAGTACACCGGTGTGCATACGCCTTTTTTGAGTCCACAAGCATAACCTAGAAATTCTGAAATATCTGCAACAACTGGACACATTTCCTGGCACAGAAGCCTTTAGGCAAATAAGGCTTACACCACTGACGATCGAAGTCTTGCCAATTTACCAAATGTGCGATTAAAGGCTTTTCGTTTGCCGATTGAAATGCAACCGCTGGCTTAGATAGCAGATAAATGCAACGTAGTTTAACTTGGGTTGATTGAAATTAGTCAAACAATCATTTCACCTTAATTTGTTGACAATCGCTGTTTCAGCCTGATCAATTTGTAATTTTTATTTCTCGCTTTTTTTATAGGAATTTTGCCTTATAAGCTCTGCCGTTCAGTCTCTTCAACAATCGTTTTCGGATATCTAAATAAATTTCACAGGCATTGCAAAATGTCATATTTCTTATAAACAAAAAATATTTAATGAATGATGCAGAGCATTCAGCAACCCCAGAATGGGAAGCGTCATATATCTTTGGCTGTCATCGTCTACATTGTACCCGCCTTTTATAATTCTTTGTTTACTAGAATAGCACATAAATTTCTCTGAAGTCTAAGTCCTGAAACATGTTTTGGTTTTGAGGCGGCCTGTATTTAATAGGTTGAGGTACACACCCATGAGCCAAATTTTCCGTGTCCAAATGCTCCTACTTCTATGTTATAGTAAAATTCCATCATTTGTACTAAATTGGTCCGTGTAAAATCGAGTTAACGTTTACTATGAAAGCATTAAATTATTTTTTCAGTATTTAAAATGAAACAAATTGCAACCTGTTATCTCACAATTTTATGGAAGAAGTGAATTGGCGCCAATCGTCAACTTGCGACTGGAAACTAAGGAATGCAACTGAGTAAGAAGTTGGATACTCAACTAGATATTTTTTATGCCGGATTCATGAAATGTGTCTAGTCGCCGCAGTACCATAGCAACCCGAGACTTCCTGAAGACGAAAGTAGACACAGTACTCGGGTAGAATATATATATTCAGCACAGAGGTGTCTGGGCAATTGGCACGGCCCTAAAGGCCAGCCCACCCAGCGAGGTACAAGGGGGCTAATTCAAAGTACAAAAGTGGCGCCTCACCAGAATTGAGGGATAAACCACTATTGTATTACAGTACTACAACACATGAGTACTGGCTGCATTTTCGATCAAGAGAGTCATT